ATATGCTGACTCTGTAAACCACTTAGAGAGGGCTGAAAGCCCTATGAAGCGGTAGATAAGTCCAACTGCTATTGTTTCTGCAGTGGTTCCAAAGAGCAACAGATTCCCCCACGCTTAACCTTCAACATACATAATCCTCTCGGGACCATTTGGAAGGCCCAATGTTTACTTTCTCTTCTTGTCTTTCAGGTATATGTATCATGTTTTGACCAAAAATACCACTGTGACTGACCACAACCGCAACCTATTGGTGGAAACCATTCGATCGATAACCGAGATCCTGATATGGGGAGATCAGAATGACAGTTCAGTGTTTGAGTAAGAGCTTGTAGGATTTTACTTAATACAGACTCTTTCCATTATGTGTATCTATTAGATTATTGTTCCATGGATGTTTTGTTTTCTGTAACTCCTGAGAATTATTCAACTGCAGCGGCCTGAGAAGCTAACAAATATATCAATATAGTTCTAATGCTAGTTAAAATATATTATCACTATCTTCATTATTATTACATTCCAGCAATAAATGAAATTTCTCCAATAAGATATAGTAAATTAGTAAAAATGCTTGCATTCCAGCTTTTTCTTGGAGAAAAACATGTTTGTGTTCTTTCTGAACATTCTGCGCCAGAAGTCGGGCCGATACGTCTGTGTGCAGCTTCTGCAGACTTTAAATATCCTCTTTGAGAACATCAGTCACGAAACGTCCCTTTGTAAGTATGCTCGTTTCTTTTCATGCAAAGCAACGTTTTTGTTGAACACAGTTCGCTACATAAGCTACACGTGTAATGGAGGTTCTTGTTTTCTGTCCTGGAGGTTACAGGATTTGAGACATTTTAAATGTATTGGGTACTAAATGTATTAAATTAATTGGGACTTGGCTTGGTTAATATTCTTCAACATACAGTACTGTTCAACCACTTAATTTTATTAAGTTCTCTGTGTTAGGCCAGGTGGTTTCTCTTTTCACATGGAGACATAAATTTTGCAAAGGACCTACGATATAAAACATAAGCTTTTTTTAAACGTGCTTCTAAAATGTTTTGACACTCGTTTTTCCTGAAAAAAGAAACCGTGAACTATAGACAGAAAGTTCTCCTTAGATGCATGTCAACATGGGCAGACGAGGCAGGAGAAGGCAGAGAACAGAAATAAGAAGGTGGAACATATAAGTCCCTCTCTGCTTCTTCTTGTTTGTGATTGGACAGTTCAGAGGTGACCATGATCGTTTAAGAAACCTGCTGTCAGCTTCTGCCTTGCTGTTGCTTCAGCTGCCATGAAACGGGGAGGGAGGGCTGGTATTTGGGAGGG